TTTAATTTAACGAGAGACATTTTTGTCATGGACATGGAACGTCAATATCTTTGATAAAATTATGAAATCCCACTCCCTATAACAGAACTCCCTTTGAATACATAATATAATTATTATTTTCAGCTACTTCCCAAGATCCACCACCAAGACAACATCCAGGTGTTGTTCCACAAGGAAACCCATGGAAACAACCACCGCATCAATCTCGTTACCCAGGGCAACAGCTACATCCAACACAACAGACAAAGCCAACATCAGGTGCACAGTTGGTGGATGACTTCCAGTCCAAACTAAGCAATCTAGAAAAACTTCAGTATGAATTAACGAAGCAGGTACCCTCCTAGCATTCCATTTTCGTAGTTCAGTATCCATATTACGTTTTAATGAAGTGGGTACCCTCCTGGGATCCCATTCTTGTTTAGTGTATCAATACATATAAATTTAATGAAACGGGTGCTGTCTTGCCCATCTTTCCATTCTCTTAGTTTATTACAAAGTAAAGAAACAGGTACCCTCCTGGTGCCCCATTTTGTAGTTGAGCATACACACTACGTATTAATGAAACTGATACCGTTCTGTCCCTTCATTCTTATTGTCTAGCATACATATTACGAATTAACAAAACAGGTGCCATCCTGTCCCCATATTCTTGTAGTTCAGCATAACTATTTAATGCTACCCATCATGAGTGTACACAGGTACATGTATAGCCTTGTACTATTTTCACAGCATGTTCTTGAGTTTATGAATGTGAAATTAATTGTTTCTAATAAGGAGCTGAGATTTGCCCAGAGACAGTCACCAGAGAAAGTGTTACAGCCAACTCAGGATGTACCTCGACCTAATGTTGATCAAAGGCAGCAACAGACAGGTATTTGCTGCTTGGCAGTCTTTGCAACTATATTAAAACATAGCATTTGGTACAAGTCCCATGCAATGTATACAACACATGTAAAATTTACAAGATATGTAGCGCCATTTCACAGTGAGCGAAGAAAAAAATCATATTACTGTTCCAACTGGGAGACTTGACATGAACATGTTATTATGACAACCTTGTGACAGAATATCAACTTGTCTTTCAGGTTACTCAGCAGATTTGCAAACTACAATGAGTACGGTGAGGTCAGCTGGATCGCCATTATTGATGAGTCTATCGTCCTATGGGGATGGCTCCATACAGGATGTTTGGAGAATTCTGGATGAGGGTCCAAGTCCAAGTCCAACATTTAGGAGAAGTCCATCACCGTATCATAATCAGCCACTCCATCCATCAGGTGAGGTCATGTGGTGCTATTAACAAAATTCCAACATATCTGCTATTATGCAAATTAGATGCAAAACACGTCTCATTCTTAAATTCAATATGGCGGCCAAAGTCACATGATTGTTCAGTCCCTCAGCACTCTGTTAGAAAACGCTATTGCTCTAAGGTGTGAATCGCCTGTGTAGTGTGTTGCGCTTGTGGGGAGACAGCGGTGACGTCATAGCATTTTCTTTGAGCAACATTTGAAGCACTTCTATTCACTACGTTCAATTACCCACCATAGACTCCGGTCAGTCAAAATGACTATTTTGAACTGTAGGCATTAATCAGCGATTCTGCCGGTGACGGAGAGATAGAATCCAGGTCAGGGGAAGCCCCATGACCTCAAGATTCTTTTACCCCTTACGTCACGAACCCACGTGACCGAGGCCACCTGGCAGCGCCACAGGTAGCCGTCCTTCACTCTTCAATTTCTCTCCG